CCGGGACTGGGGCGGGAAGGGGAGTGGGACTGGGACTGGGACTGGGACTGGGACTGGGACTGGGACTGGGACGGGGCTGGGACTGGACTGGGACTGGGACTGAGACTGGAGCGGGACGGATTGAGTTGGGACTGGGACTGGGCTGGCGCTGAACTGGGACTGGGACTGGACTGTCACTGGTTCTGGGCTGTGACTGAGACAGGAGAGGGATTGGACTGGACAGGGACTGGGACTGGAGTAGGACTGAGATTAGGACAGGGACTGAAACCGGGACTGAGACTGCGATTGGGTCTGGGACTGGGACTCGACTTGGACTGGGACTGGAGCTGAACTGGGACTGGGCTGGCACTGAACTGGGATTGGGTTTAGAACTGGGACTTGAGTTGGATTGGGACTGGGACTGAGACTGGGCTGGCACTGAACAGGGATTGGATTGGGGCTGGACTGGACTGGACTGGGACTGAGCTGGAGTGGGAGTGGGATTGGGAGTGGGATTGGGACTGGAGTGGGACTGGGAGTGGACTGAGACAGGCTGGGATGGGAACTGGGACTCCGAATGGACTAATACGGGACTGGAATGAGGACTGGGACTGGACTGTGAGTGGGACTGGGATGGGGACTGGGACTGGACTGTGAGTGGGACTGGGACTGGGATGGAGACTTTGAGTAGTAATGGGATTGGGACGGGGGCTGGAACTGGGACAGGGACCTGGACTGCAGTGGGACCAGGACTGGACTGAGACAGGGACTGGGACTGGGGCCAGGGACTGGACTGGGACTGGGGACTGGGTTTGGGACTAGGATTGGAGTGGGACTGGGACTGGAACTGGGACTTGGATTGGACTGGAACAAGGACTGGGATTGGAATGGGACTGGGACTGGGACTGGAACTGGAACTGGGACTGGAATGAGGACTGGGACTGGGATTGGAGTGGGACTGGAATGGAGACTGGGACTGGACAAGGACCGGAACTGGGACTGGAACTGAACTGGAACTGGGACCTCAACTGGGAATGGGACAGGGACTGGAGTGGGACTGGGACTGGGGCTGGGATTGTGACTGGAATAGAACTGGGAGTGGAAATGGGACTCGGATTGGGACTGGACTGGACTGGTCCAGACTGGGGCTGCGACTGTGACTGGACTGCAACTGGAATGGGGACTGGGACTGGACTGGAGTGCGACTGGACTGGCACTGGAATGAAATGGGACTGGGACTGGGACTGGACTGGAATGATACTGGGACTGGGACAGGGACAGGGACTGGGACTGGAGTGGGACTGAGACTTGGACTAGGAATAAGGCTGGACTGGGATTGGGACTTGGTTGGGACTGAACTGGGACTGGATTGGGACTGGACTGGACTGGTCTGGACTGAGACTGGGACTGGACTGGGACTGGACTGGGACAGGGACTGTGACTGAGACTGGGACTAGGACTGCACTGTGATTGGACTGGATTGGGACTGGAATGGGGCTGGTTCTGGACTGGGAATAGGACTGGGAAGAGGACTGGGACTGCGACTGGGAGTGGGACTGGGCTGGCACTGCACTGGGACTGAGACTGGAGTGGGACTGGGACTGGACTGGACTGTTACAGGGACTGGGACTGGAGTGGGACTGGAACTGGGACTGTACTGTTACTGGGACTGGACTGGACTGGGACTGGCATTGGAGTCGAACTGAGACTGGGACTTTGGGCAGGGACTGAACTGGGACTGGACTGGGCTTGGACTGGGACTGGTACTGGGACTGGACTGGGATGGGGACTGGTTTAGGACTGGATTGGGACTGGGACTGGGGCTTGGATGGGACTGGGACTGGACTGGATTTGGACTGAACTAAGATTGGACTGGGACTGGGCTGGCACTGAGCTGGGGCTGGTTTGGGGCTGGACTGGGACTGGAGTGGGACTGGGACTGGGTTGGAGTAGGACTGGACTGAGACTGAACTGGGTCTGGACTGTGCCTGGGACAGGGACTGGGACCAGCACCAGGACCAGCACCATGGTGGGGACCAGCACTCAGACCAGGACTGGGAGTGGAACTGGGGCCAGGACTGGGAGTGAACTGGAACTGGTCTGGGACTGGGAACAGAACTGGGTCTGGGACCCAGCATTGGGATCAGGACCAGCATGGGACCAGCACTGGGCTCAGCATCAGGACTGGGACTCAGACTGGGACTGCAGCTGGGACTGGGATTGGGACTGGACTGGGACCAGCAGCAAAACCGAGACACGCACTGAGACTGGGACCAGTACCAGGACTGGAACTGGGACCAGGACTGGAACCAGAACTGGACTGGGACCAGGATCAGAACTGGGACCAGCTGGGACCAGCATCCAAACCCAGCACTGGGACTGGGGCCCAGCACTGGGGCCAGGACCAGCACCAGGCTGGGACTGGGATCCAAGCCTGGGCTGGGACTGGGACCAGCACCAGGAGCAGGCCAGCACTGCGATCAAAAACTGCGCTGGGACCAGGGCAGTGCTGGGACTGGACCTGGCACCCAGCACCGAGACTGGGACTGGAACTGGGACCAGGGCAGCACCGGGACTGGGACTGGACCTGGCACCCAGCAGCAGACTGGGATTGGAACTGGGACTGGAACTGGGACCAGGGCAGCACCAGGACTGGGACTGGACCCGGCACCCAGGACTGGGATAAGAACTGGGATCCAGCTGGGGGGGCCCTGCTGTGGCCAGATCCCCCAGACCCCAGGGTGACCTTGACCCCGCATGACCCGCGTGACCCCGCATGACCCCGCTGAGGAGGGCGGTGGGACGCGCCGAGGCCGGTCCCCGCAGCCCGGGGCAGCTCCCGCGGGGACCCCGCACGCGGCCCCAAGGGCGGGCGGCCCCCGGCTCGTGCTTGGGGGGGGGGCCTCTGCCTGGCGCCCCGGCAGCCTGCCCTCCCAGCATCCCCATGTCCTGGTGTCCTGGCATCCCGGTGTCCTGCCCTCCCAGCATCCCCATGTCCTGGTGTCCTGGCATCCCGGTGTCCTGCCCTCCCAGCATCCCCGTGTCCTGCCCTCCCAGCATCCCAGCATCCTGGTGTCCCAGCATCCTGGCATCCTAGCATCCCGGTATCCCAGCATCCCGATGTCCTGCTGTCCCAGCAGCCTGGTGTCCCAGGATCCCGGCAGCCTGGTGTCCTGGTGTCCCAGCATCCCGGTGTCCCAGGATCCCGGCAGCCCGGTGTCCTGGTGTCCCAGCATCCCGGTGTCCCAGGATCCCGGTGTCCTGGCGTCTCGGTGTCCCACCTGTCTGGGTTTGTGGCCTTGCCGCGGGCAGGGCAGGCAGCAGGCAGCAGCAGGCAGCGCGGGGGCTGGGGCAGGGGGCTGTGGGCAGGGGCTGCGGGTCTGGGGCCCCGAGGGCGCAGGAGGGG